CTTATTCGCGGATCTTTGTTAATTAAAATCTCAGTAACTATTGCGAATCTAGCAAAATGGTATAAGACTTTTCGACTCAGTTTTACTCCTTCTACCTGCCTACGAAAGATTGTACGGCCATTCTGGGACACCCTGTATATATACTCGATATATTTTTATCTTCGTATATCAAATAAATTAAATTGAGGCAAATATGTATTCGATATTTGTATTCTCTTCTCTGTTTTGAAGTCATTCGTGCCGCATCAAATTTGCGTTTCTGAAAAGAAGTTGCAAGTTTCTGCGGCAATCTCGAAACGTTTCTTGCTTTTGCATTCTCATTCGCGAACTGCTTGGTAGACATTTCTCACACTGGCATTGTGAAATTGTACGCGCTGGATCATCGCGGATGTCTCTAGCGAACGAACAGACTGTGTTTGGTCCAAGATGTTTATCTCTCGCGTTCTCGTTTCTATGTGCGCGTCTCTCTCATGAATTTTTTGAAAGTGTCGCCATGAGAAATTCTTCAGACTAACAACAAATTGGCCGTGTCTGCGAAGACGCGAGGACGCAAAGCGCCCCGGTGAAAGAGAGAATAAAAAACAATGCGAGTACGAAACGCGGCGTGTGTTATGGAAATTCTTCAGGATTTTGTTGCCTACGTCCCGTCGAATTATCGCCTCCTCCGTCCGTTCGTCCGTCTGCTATTCCACGCGAATTCCCATACGGAATTCCATCTCGAAGCGGCCCTCGAGATGTCGGCGGTGACGGCGGCGTGACTCGGGAGTGGTAATATCGGTCGGGTAAGGAACTTTGGGAATCTCTCTCGCAAAACACTCCGTCTCAAGCACGTTTCTGACGAAATAATCCTATACCCGACTTTCAAAGACGAGCTCCTTTTACTTTCTCTTTCCTTCCGTTTGGTGTTGTCTTTTTTTTTTAATGTTTCTTTGAAAGAATCTGGAAAGATTGAAAATACGATCGCAACGCTCACAATCATCTCACGCTCTTATTGAGGAAAATTATAACTCTATAAACATTGCGTGTGTTTATTCTTATTATAGTTGCAATAGAAAAAAAGCATGTGACTTCGAAAATGTTTATATTAAATTATATCCAACTCTCAGATATACCTCACGTATTTGACACCCGGTGATAGCCCACTAGGGTCAAAATGGGACAACTGATTTTTTCTCGGACTTATATATCTCCGGTATAGTGAGGACTATTGAAATGTTATTATACATGAATCTCAAGGTTGTTTTAATAATCTTGAAGACTGTGTTATTTGGAGTAACAAAAAATTTTGGTTTTGCATTTTTTTTTTATTAATAAAGAAAACGGTTTTAACACATTTTAACAAATTTTTACGGTTTTAACAAAGTTTCAAAAAACATGTTTTATTTGAAGAAATAATTTTGTAGTTTAAAACAAAAGATAAGAGGACTTTAATGTACCAAACAATAAAGTTCAAGAGTTGTATTACCAGGGAAAAAGGGAGCCCTAACAATTTATTTCAAAAAAAAAAATTTTTTTTATGCAAAATGAAGTTTGACAATTTTCATCTTGCAAAGAAATAAGCAGAAACAAAATTACGGCTGCAGATATGTAAAAATCATCTGGTTTTGTTAATATCAAATAAAAATGCATACGAACAACTAGATAATTAGAGATACTTATATTTTTTTATCTCACTTGTTTCAAGTACCTCTGAATTAAAACGCAAAATTTTCAGAGAAACACTCTAAACACTACAAAAAACTATCTCCACTGTTTTTGACACTTCTTTTTGAAACAAAAATACTATTTTTAGTACATTTATTTATCAGAAAACAGTTTTTATAGTACCATCACTTTTTCGACGTTGCTACCTCATGAGGGTCAAAAAGGGACAAATTTTTCTTTTTCCCGCTTTCTTTTTGTTATTTTGTACGGACTGAAGCTGGCAACAAACTGCGTATGTACTACAAATCTCCTTTTTTCTTCCTCCGGTTCAGACTCGTTCCTCCATCTACATAGAAATGGCGAGCGATTTAAAACCAACTTAGTTCCTTTTTGACTCGTAGAATATCTGAGAGTTAATTATATTAAGTTTTTATTAATTATTTTTATTTTATTAATAAGTAATATTTATTAAATTATGTTTTATTAATAAATTATATAAAGTAAACTATATAAATTATATAAGTAAAATACAACACAGAAACGAATATATACATATATATATATACGTTTGATTGTTTCTCTGATTATTTTACAGATATTACGAGATCGTTAGGGACGTCAGACCTAACAAAGGTACGATTCTTAAGTCTTCGGTAGAGTATATAAAACTGTTGAAAACCGAGCTGACGAGAATGAAACAGAACGAGATCAGACATAAACAATTGGAGCATCAAAATCGAAGGTTGCTACTGCGCGTGCAGGAACTCGAGCTGCAGGCGAAGGCACACGGACTTCCGATTTCCGATTTCAACTGGGCGTCTACTTCCGCCGCTATGCTCAACACCTTTCCTAGGAATAAACTCGAACACCGAAAGGCAAGTCAAAAATCTTTCTTCAATAAATTTACGCTTGTTTTCAATTATTATTATTATTTTTTTTTTTTGTACTTATTTCCGATCCTGCTCGATAATTACATTTGTTCGATCAGAGTTTTACATTATAAATATTTACATATTTATATATTTTTACATAAATGTTTTTCACATGCACAGATTTGTAATAAGTGACATTTGATAACTAATTCAAATTAATAAATTCGTTGATCTCAATACACGATACGATGATATACGCGAGTGTGTGTGTGTGTGTGTGTGTGTGTGTGTTTGTGTGTGTGTGTGTGTGATATCTCGTTTATTTCGATCAAAAGTATTGGTGAGTGTTTTGTAACAGCAAGCCGTTTAATCTTAAATACGACAACCAGTCGATCCGCATGTGAGGCTCGCCGACATCACATCGATATAACGATCGATCTGTGATCCTTGATCCGAATAAACCTTCTGTCTCGTTTCAAAGTAGTTTCATAACGCGTGCATCTGTGTGTGTCCACAACGGAGAAGCGAATAGCTGTTGTTCGTTCACTCGTTTGCAAGGGAAGAGATAACGTGACGGCAAAGTCTCTTACCTTAGCCGTGTTATATCCGGCACTCTCGTATGTATGCGAAAGCAGCGAAGTCTTTTTTGACAGCGTCGATGTAGAGCGGTAACGATTTTATTACGCAACACAATCGAACCGCGGTCGTGCTTACGTAATAAAAAAAAAAATGTTTTCTCATTTGCATATAATTAACGTATTTCGGTTTTTGCTGCCACCTTGCGAGCGACTTTTGCGAGATGACGACTTTCGATCGCATTTGCAAAATGACGAAATTGTCAGCTCGAAATATACATACAAAAAGATTTTGCAAACACCTTTCGAAAATTTGTGTTATGTAAGTCGAACACACACACACACATATACAAGCGATAACACAACAAGAGTGTGCGAATGTTTTTTTTCCACGCAAAATTTATAGAAACTTCTACAATTTTATATACGTGGCATTATAATTATAACAATCCCAACAAGAAAATTGATCTTTTATAATAATTCCGTTCACTTGTTAATTATTATAGTTATTCTAATTATTATGAATATATTATATTCAATTGTTTTTTTTTGCTTGGAAAAATATTAATTAAATATTAAATTACTTTTCACGTTATTATTCTCTTTCGTTAATGTTAATTGTGATAGGTATGGTACTGTTGGTGCTAGCTGACTTTTCACACACACACACGCGCGCGCGCACGCACACACACGCACGCACGCACGCACGCACGCACGCATGCACGCACAATTCTTCACTGGCAGCGGATTATTGTTCCGAGTATAATAAATGGCAATTTGTTGCTCACGTTCGTTTCGTCCCTCGTTATGATCTTGCTCTCCGATTTCGGCCGGGAACGGGATCTTCGGGGAGATAGTTGATGTTGGTTGCCGTCATTATCGTCGTTGCTCTTTAAAGCGCATGGCTGAGATATCCGTTCAGAGATGGCAGCAAAAGTTACCGCCTGAATTAGTAGAGCAGATAACGTTGTGCACGTACGTATACATATATATATATATGTATATATATACATATAGTACTTACGTATGAAATATGACGCGGTTTCGTGATGCGGTTAAAAACTCTCGAATTACAGATAACAAGGAAGTCGGTCTATTAATAAAAGATTAAACACAATAGTTTTTTAATGTGTCGGCTTTCGCTCTGTGGATTCTCTTCAGAACAAATTTGACTAGATTACAAAAATTTGACGAACAAACGCAAAAACAGACTCGGACGCGTAGATTATAAGAAAGCTTAGAATCCGGAAAAAAAGAGTCAAAGCGTTAAAATATTATTGTTTAGTCTTTTATTAATAGATAGATCATTAAGCTTGTGAATATCTTATGGCTAGTCTACAATAAAGGTTGTAAGGCTGTAGGAGTAGAGAGTAAACTATTTTTCGGTAAAGAAACGACGGGAATTACGAAATAGACAATTCCCATTTCGCCCCGCCTACTGCCTTACTGTTAGCCAATGAAAGACGTGTGTTAAAAAACGCAAAATAATTACTTGTATAGACAAAAATAAAAGAACTCCAAGAACCTTACTTCTTACTCTATACTGCCTACTCCCATTGTAGACTAGCTTCTTTATGACCGTTATTTCTGTATCTTTATTTTTTTTTTATATCTGTTTACAGAGTGAAACTTGTTTTCTGAACATCTAGTGACACTTTCTTTTTCGAGCCGCTTCTCTTGCGCTGATCTCTCTCTCTCTCTCTCTCTCTCTTTGGTGACAAGTTATGTTACACATGCACTTTTGCTTTCTCTGTCCATACGCGCGCATTTTCGTTCCGCGCATGTGCTATTGGATAGAAGTGGGAGACGAAGGTTCGGAAAAGAAAGTTTTTTACTGGTTCCGAAGGGTTGAGAAAATCAGGGTCCCGACTGTATTTCGCATAAGTTTTTATAATTATCGATTTGAACGAAACGTTAATGGTTTGTTTATTGCTCAAGCGATGGTATAACGATAGCGCGATTGTTGTGTCGCATTGACGTTAATTTACGTCCGCTCGTCGCGTTTTCGGAAACATTCGGAGTTTCTGCAAAACGATAGATAACGAAGAGACGCGGAATGACGTAGCAAGAGAGGGATGAGTTGAATTATGGTTCGAGATAAAGTTTCACTGGAATGTAAGTAGTCTGACAAGCTGCTTCCTTCGCGGTTAGGGAAATTTAAACATTGATAACGTCTCGCTTCGCGATTTGCGTTCGCGACGAGTTTCGACCGAGGCGAGGGAAGTGTCTCTCTCGCGTACTTATTGCACGGGGATTTTACTACGACATTTAAACATCGGTTTGCTTAACATTAATTTTGTCTCTCGATTTACCTTGCACGAGACGATCCTATATGTGCTTCAGATAACGATAAATTATTTCTTAGAAATAAGGTAATAACGCAGAAAAACATTCTTCTTTATTGCAACGCATAAAACTGTATGATTTTTTGCGAGGGCTAAAGATTATAATCTGATCCTTCGTGGACCACTGACATAGGTCTCCTAGATCCACTCTAAAATTTCAAACCGGTGTCTCTAAGCAAATATTAGTTTTTCTTTAACGCTTATATCTTCGAAACTACTAGAGAGTTTTTCAATTTGTTTTTTTTAATCGACGCAGAATCATTCAAATTTTTGATTTAAAAAAAAATTGAAAAAAATATTGATTTTTCGCGGAGATATTCGATTTTAAAGTCGCGTGGATCTCACAGACTCAGTCGGTCCAACTAGTAGGCATTTTTTGGTTAGTCAACAAAGAGCTAAAAAAACAATTCGCAACTTACTAGTTTATCAAGTATTGAATATCGTGTGCACAACTTTTATATACATCGTGTGTATAAATTAAAAAAATGTTTCTATAATCTGTTTATAATTTATCTTGAATTACATTATTGCAAAAGGTGCGAGGAGTTGTATAGAAAACAATATGACCTTTTTAGTACTGCCGACCGAAAAGGGTGTGTTGTTTTAAGCGCGCACCGCTTGGTTCGAGATTGCATAATTGCAAATGTAATTGCACATCTTAAATCTATACGCGCCTGAATGTCGTGCAAAATATTTACTTTTTATCACCGGCGTATTATATGCGTACGGTTCGCAGAGTTGCACTTCTTATCTCTCACCTACCTCTTATCGTACGTGCTACCTCGCGCGAGACTTATACCTTTTATCTTGCATCTTGCGCCACGTATATTTTCACAGAAGAACACACGCTTCTCCCGGTGTCGGAACAAAGGATAATCGCTGAATGAGTTGTAACGTCAGAAAACCGCGTTGCACAACGGCATGCGCCGCAGCATTTTTTCATGCAAATTCAACCTCCTCCGCACGTCGCGTCCGATTACGTGCGGTTATGTAAAAAAGCGCACATGCGATCACTTCGCGGAATACCGTCAAGTATAAAATTATCTAAAGGCGAAAAAAAATACACACACACAAACAAACTAAAAAAGTTTTGAAATAGATAAGAGAAGGAGAGTATATATATACATTTAATGGAATTTTTGCGGCATTGCATACGCGCGATTAGATTTCGACGAGGATTTCTGGTTTAGAGAAAAATTCTCAAACTGATATTTAAAATATTTTTGAAATCACACGATTTTCTTTTATCTTGCGACGTGAAAAACTGTTTTATGCGTGATGCAACGTAAATAAAAATCTCAGAACATTAATTCGATGCGGCAAAGACCGATAAGTAATCTGACGAATTTATTTGCACCGGTAATATAACGACAGGTAAATTGGATCACGGTCGTTTGCACCTGAAACGCGATTGGAAATTAATTCCGGTTCTGGTAAGCCGACTCCGTCTGTGACTTCACAAAGTTGCCGGAAACTGCAACTGCATCTGGCAGAGAAACAGCTTCTCAGTCAGTTTGAATACGTGTACGGAGATAACGTATAAACGTTTAAAAAAATCTTGCTAATATAGAATATTTAATTTTTTTTAACCGAAAAAGAAAAACAGAGAAAAGACGATTATTTCTTTTATGGTGCGTTAAGAGTTTATTGTTTATTCCATATTACGTGTTGTCACAATGTTGTTCCAAAGATCAATCTTTGTTTTTATCTAACAGAGATAGTACATTTCCTTGATATATATACATTATATATATAATGTATGTATATACACACATGTATATACATACAAAATATATATATATTTTTATACATATATGTATATATATATATATATATATATGTGTGTATAAAAATCCTTTTACTTATTAACTATACTGTTCTAAATTAATTTAATTTTAATTTGTCACAAAATACATTCTATTATTCAACGTAAATAGCAATAAACGTTCTACATTATATAACATACACATTACGTGCTACCTTGACTTTTGTTTTTGTAGCACATCAATAATCATTGATAGATACGATGACACATACGTACACATTGCACTCTTATTCCTTTATATATACATGTATAAAGAAACTTCGACTCAACATCCACTTCTGCTTTAATTGAGAATTACCAGCTCAACACAACATTCTCGCTTTTATAATCAAAATCTCCAGTATGTATGTTCACATTCGCGCTTTCAAATAAGATTTCACAACATAATTTCTCATTATTTTAGTTTCTGTTCGATTTGACGGGTTAATATGTTCGGACGTGTCAAAGAACGGGTTTGTTTTACTGGATGTTGGATGCTTTTCTGCCGTAGATACCAGATCTGGCGGTGACGGAGGAGGCGACAAGTCTGAGCATGTCACAGTTCGAGGACCTCATGGAGGACGACACCGGAGGCCCCGTACACGGTGGCGATCCGATGCTGTCGTCGCCGCACCTGCCACCGCTGAGTCCACCTGCGGCCGCCTGTCACCACGGTTTAACCGACGACGACACCCTCGGCAGTCTGGCGGTGACCACGTCGAATTCCTCGTCTGACATGGACATCGTCGCGTAGCCGAAAACGTCCGTCGTTCATCAGCTTCGCGCGTGATCGAAGTCGACTTCCGAAACTTTCTCGTCGTCTTAGGTATTTTTCCGGTCGTCGCACGACTGGAGGTGATCGATTTAGCTTTATGTGAGAGAACGGGAACATAGTGTGCGAGGTGCGACTTGAAGGCAGCGGGCTGCTACGGCGTGGTAGATCTTCATCGTGGAAGAAAAGGAAGTTCGCGCGGTACCAATTGGATTTTATTGGAAACGACCGCGTTCCGATGTGGATTTATCGAAAACTAGTCATCGACTCGAAATCGGAGATTTTACTTCGCTGGAAAAAATTGGGAAAATGAACAATAATACGTGCGATTTAAATAATGAATATCCGATCGATTCGTTCAAGTAAATGACTACTGTTTCTATCAGAAAGACAGTTATATATCACACACACAAACACACATACACTCACATGGAGACATACATCTCTCTATGTAAAAGATTTAGAAGAAATAAATCTCGACTTGGCCAACATACAAAATACGATATTTACATAGACAACCTCGAAGACTGAAAATTACAATTTTCATTAAAAAAAAAGTGTATACTTATCCGAACAACTATCACGGCAACATTATTTTTTCAATTATCTTAGATATGTCATTAATGATAATGACGTTTTAGATATTCTCTCGTAATCATCAAGCAAGAATATTTTTAAAACTCCGTTAATTTGGGAGATCAAGCAAAAAAGTGACGAAAAGAAAATTACTATGACAAGAACGTGTCAAGTTCGAGTTTCGCGTCCTTGGAGATTCAGTACGAGGATCGATAGATGTTTATCGAGTCGATGACGAGATTCTCAAGAAGTGATCGAGCGTTTTCGATCGGTCAAGCTCTGAGACTTCGAGGTCTGAAGTGGCCGGTGAAAGTCGTCATTGTCAGACGATGAAGGAGGAGTTCAGGGTCGTTTCAATTGCGCGCGGAACGGAGAGCTCGATGCCACAATTCTACGAACGGCTGGCCGTTACATCGATGGAATGCGTGACGTCTTGTGCGCGGTATATATGATGATATTATGTCAGTGCACCGAAGAACGCGCTGAGACGAGTTTGAAAGACACGTTTGCGCATCACAAGCGAGAAAGCAATTGTCGTCAGTGATGCACTTTACGTTGTTGACGACGACTTTTGAAATCTTTTTGACTAAAAGGACGAGAGAACATCTCGTAAAAAGTGCTAACTCTTATTACATATAGCTTACTATAATATTACTTAATCGAGAAATTTAATTTTTGTAGTTTACAAGTGTGCGCGAAATATGCCGAGAAGATGTTTCGTTTTTGAGGTGAATATAAACTTTTAATTTTAAAAGACAAAGTATATTTCTTCGAAAAAAAAACAAAGTATTTTGCCGACACATCTCCTCGATGAGAAGTACACATGTAGTCGGAAAAAATATGTAAAAAAATCCATAAAGATAATTAACCTGTACATTACATCTTGCTTTATAAAGCTGTGAAATATCGAGGTGATACTGCGAAAAGAAAATACAAGAACGAACTTTGAAGTGTCTTCGTAAAAAGAATCGGAAAAAACATCATATATTCAAAAAAAATATATCTTTCGATTTCAGTATTAAAAAGTGTGTACATGCATTATAATATATATTACGCAATCAGAGAATTTCTTACATAGCGACGTACAATGTAAAGTAAACAGTTCCTAGAATCATCTTCAAAGCATACTTTAACTCTTCTGTCACCGCTTGAATATTTTTGTTTTGACCTTAATGATGAGAACAATTTTTTTAATGCTAGCGTGCGAATTTTGTTACGTCGCTCGAAATTTTTATTCTTGGAGGTACAAAGAACATCTTCTCGCAAAGTTTGTTAGTTTTTTTTTGTAGCAGGTTCGTACAGTACGTCGTTCAATGTATGTACAAACAGTCGGTCCATTATTATTATTATTACGAATAGTTCTATTATTATTATTATTACAAATAATTTAAGAAAAAAGAATAGTGATGATTTAAAAAAGTAAACAATCACGCGTTGACAGAAGAGTTAAAATGTGTGCGAAATCATCACCTACACAAAAAAAAAAACAAAAAAAAAAGAAAATTAATGTTCTCAGAACATCAAAAATTTCTTATAAAAGTATTTTATCATCTTGCTATTATTTTTCTCATAATTGACGATATTTTCAAATNANNAAAAAAAAAAAAAAAAAAAAAAAAAAATGAACGCGATAATTAACGGTGTTATAAGTGTTGTTAAAAGACCTGTGCTAAAACTATCGAGACAGTAAGTTTGTGATGAAAGTTCGTGTAATTTTGAATTAAAGGGGAAAAGTCGTGGATTGAACCGGCGGTTTTACAAACGCGAAAGATTCATAATTAATCGGTGGCGACAAAGGAACCCAACGTCAATACGCGTCTGATCTTTGGCAAACTCGCAGCAGATGAGCGAGTATCGTGCTCAAGTTTGTTATAAAGTTTGCTAGTAGTTATTGTCTTCAGCACTGTGCGCGCCTCGTATGTTGCCTGGAAGCGAGGAGCAACGGTTTCGGCACACGGGGACTTTTGTGCGACAAGTCTTGTTTCGCCGAGCGCGCGACTATATAACCTACATTGTTCGATCTCACGTTGCCTTGAGCCAAGATCGATGATAATTATTCGAACGGGGATTATCGTCGATAAATCGTCGATGCTTGACGTGAAGAGAAGCAATATGTTAAATTTAGGTTTTACCCTACTTTTCAAGAGAGAGAGAGCGAGGGAGAATTTAAATATTACTTGTACAAAAACAGAGATATAGAGAAAGAGATAAGAGATATTATTTTAAATACACCGTACTGAACTGCTATTAAGTATTACACAAAAAGTTTGTTAAAAGTTGTTAAATAACCGATCTTATTTTTTAAATCATTTTAACAATAAGAGTATTTAATAATAATAAGAGAAAATAAAAACACAGAACACTTTTTTATCAATTGCTTTAGAACACTTTTGGTATGTACAAATGTGCATATAATTTGAAAACTAAATTTGAGAATATTTTTATTAACCCTCAACGGACGGACATGGGTCGTTTTCGTCTGGAGCAAAATTACTTTCTGTGTGAAGAAAGTAATTTTCTTGTTGTCATATTTGCTAAAAATTATGAATTAAAACTTTTTTTTTCACTAAATTTAATGATGGTGTCTTAAAATAGACAATTTAAAGAGTATATACACATTGTTTCAGATTTTTTTAGAAATATTTAATATTTTTAAAAAGCCCAAGACGCGAAAACGACCCATGTCCGGCGAATTAAGGTGCCGAAAAACACGCCGTCCGTTGAGGGTTAAGCGTATCAGAGAGAGAGAAGAAAAGGACTATATGAGAGTATTCTCTCTATTCTCTAACTTTACGGAAATAGATTTCTATTCTTTTAATTTCCTGCGTATTTGACTGCGTATTTCTTAGATAATTCTCCAATTGAACAAACCGTTTAATATTTTCAAGCAGTGTTAGGGAAATAATGATAGTCTACGTACAGAACATCTAATCTATCACTGTATGTAAAATCATGGCTAAATAGTAGAGTTTTCAACATTTAAGACATTGATTTTTGAACGTTGCAACAGTTTTATATTAACTCTCTCTCTTTCTTTATACAAACATTTTACACATTATTATTTTTGTACAAATATTTTACACAATATACAACACAAGTTATAAACACGCGAGCGTGATGAAAATGATACTAATCATCTTATTCGCGATATCAGTTTACACAATACACCGATGATTTAACAATCTTTTGTCCATTGATAAAAGATTTTCTGCTAATCGCCTTATCTACTTGAACGTCATAGAAAGTGATAGCTTAGACATTCCACATGTGGACTATACACAAGTGACCAACACTGCCCTCAAGTGTTCTTATCGCGTTGTAATTCCTTAAGTCGGGGAACGAAAACCCGATCGTTTTTATTTGCTTTCTCTTGTAGCTTGCATACATATTACATGTTAATTGTTCTTGCAAAAAAAAAAACATCATTCGCGTAGTTAGTGCGGAAGATTCTCCGAAAGAACGCAACTACGCACACATCTCTCTTGTGAATTCAAATACACGGTGCCAGTTATTTATTAACGAAGACCTCGCTCGATAAACAATACTCTACCGCGTGTAGAATATACAAATGAAAAATACATAACTACACCGTATCACATTGCATCGGAACTTCCCTCGATTTTCTCCCGAATAATTTATATGTAAACTACACTTCTTTATAATTGACACTTAAGATATGTATCGACATATGTTAAAACGCCAGATTCAATCAATAAGTGTCGCTTTGAGACACACAAGTTTGACATAACAGATTAAAATGTTCTCTCATATTATTATTATTATTATTGTTATTATTATTATTATTAGTATTATTATTATTATTATTATAAATGAAATTCTATTTTGCTTGTAAAGTCGCTTGACAACTTTTTGGTTGTTCTGACTTCAACAAATGTGATGTGTGAGGTACGGAAATTTAGTTTTCTTTTTCCCGCATTATACGCGAACAATCCACTCGCGCAGGTCGCAAGTTTTTAGTACACGTACGATCTGTGTAAATCAATCCGTTCCTTCGTCGATCGCGTCACGAATTACCTTCGTGTCGTATCAGAATCTAAACAATGTTACTTGTCAGAAACGCGCGTTGTCCTATACGATATTCGTTTCTCACGGTGCGATGCTCGCAAGCGCGCTCGAACAAACAAACAAAACGTTGCGAGTGCTCGACTTCAGTTGGTGGAGACTGCAATGCCCCGGAGCTGATACGTCCATTAACAAATCATTCTGTTCACGGTGTATGAATTTATCGCGTAACACACCGCGTACGTACATACGGTTTCTCTCTCTTTCGACGCGACAAATAATCAACGTTATCACACAACGTGCACTCTTGTTTAATTTCAATTATACAAATACAAAAAAAAGAGTTCAACGAACTTCAAAGCTTTACTTAACGCGCGCGCGCAAAAAACGAGAGGCTTAGTAAGAAACAAATAATATATTGCATCTTCTGCACATTGGAAAAACTCAGAAATATGTAGAAAATTTTGAATATTTTTTTATAACGCGAATCTTTGTGATAATTGTTTCGAAGTCAAATTTCTTCTGATTCCAAAAAATTTGAACTTTTTGTATTACTGTCTTTCAATATTTTTTTACAGTAAAAAGTCAATTAAAGAATTCGGTTATTAAAAATATAAGTGGTTTAATGAAAAATAAGTTCTTTTTTCGCAACCATATGTGTTTGAAGATTGAAGATCTTTTGAGTTTTTCATCCCCATTTTTCAAATACTTAATCCTCAAAATTGTCAAGCTGACGAGAGAAGGGAGAAATATTTTGAGCTTCGAGTGATTATCAAAGTTCGGCAAATGTTCTTTTGCGAAACCGGGCCAACTCGCTATTCTGTGCACGAGCTGCGCGACGCGGAATACGTAACGATTCGACGACGGCGACGACGACGACGACGGTGCATTCGCGTCAGTCGGCGAAATAGCGGCGGCGCCAACTCTCGGTCGTTGGTGCTGTGTAACCACCGGGGAAAAATAAATAATCCGGGTACACGGCTTGCGCCGAAGGTAAATACAAATTCTGGCGGCTCGCGAAAAACTTTCTTCTTATCGGGAACGTGTCCCCGTAAAGGGAGCTTGTTAGGACTTTTGGCGAAAGCATGACTGGCTCGAGTTTGCTTCGAGATTTAGGCGAAAGTTTACACGCGTGCGAAATATATTCATTACGTTTGTCCTGTATTTACATTCAGTAGTTAAAACTATAAACGGACTTATTAAGAAATGCATAATTGATTAATTCTCGTTTAATTAAAACGTTCAATGTTTTTAAGTTCGATAATTGCTTCTCCGGTGGTGTAAATGTTTGCGTCAATATACAAACAAAATTAAATGTTGGCATTGTATTTTTTATCGGCACAAAACGGGGCCAATTTTTCCAACTTGAAGTGCCAAAGGCTATTGCCATCGTAAATGCACAACGAAAGTTAAGTACATGCAATAATTATTAACAAGCATGACTGGTTTGCTAGTAAGTCTCTCGAAACCAGGGTATGCCCCGGAGGTATGCCATTTAATACTGCCTTTAAAGCCAGAACGAAACTAATTTCTGTCGGAACGAAATTTCACGCCAATATGCAGTAGCGCATTGCGAAAGACGTATTGGAAATTAACTCGAACACACAGCTATTCACGTATTTCGGATTGTAACATTTCCCGGGTGTGTCTATTGATACTGCTAGGAATTTCGAAACAGAAAATAAAACAAGATTAAAATTTTTCTTCTGATATTCTCGCACGTAATCAGGAAAGAAATATATTTTTTTGTTTCTTTTGTTTCTACAGCTTTGTGTTCTATCTGATTTTCACATTGAAAATTTTATTTTACTTTATTGTTTTTTTCTTTTTTTTGCAGTTTAATTTTGTTCTCTCGGATCTCAAAATTTATAATCTTGATGTGATAAATAAACGAGAATTTCATATTACATTTTCCTGGAAAAACAATTTTTTAAAAATTTTGACAAAGTTTTGAAATGACGTCATTTCTTACCGCGTTAACCTTTCAGTGGCACACTTTGTTTTGCTGCTTACTTCGGCAAACTGGATCTCCGAGACCCGATAACTTTTCTGATATCTTCTTGTTTGAATATTCATTAGTGAACTTATCTGGTATACGAATCTTATCAATTTTAAGTGTACAAGAAATAATTTTTTGTAATTATTATTTATATTTAAT